CAGAAAGGATCTCATATTCAGGTAACAAGGTATTCTCCTCACAGTTTTTCTTGTTCTTGGCACGGCTCGATCTGTAAGTATAGAGCTCTTTTGCTGTAAAGTATTTTTTCTCTCAAAAGGTTCGTTTTAAAGAGTCCTTGTCTTTTCTTCTTCTTTCAGCGTCATAGTTGTATTACTGTAGGCTGCAGTATCGTCGGATTCTATCTGAGAATCGTGGTCTGGATGATTTTTTACAGTGAAAGTGCTTGGCATTAACTGAAAGTAAGTAGCAAAGCTAGTTAATTAAAATGGTTAAATGATTATGGGCACAAGCATCGAGTTTCTCTTTCAAGACGACACCGACATCAATTTAAAAACAACCTCAATATTCGCAGTTAAAACACATCGTCAAAAGAAAGAGAAAGAGAAAGGAAAGGAAAGGAAAGAAAAGCAAGCAAACAAAGAAAAATAAAACACGGTATTGGCAAGTCGTCGAGTTCCAATCCGTGCTCGTCGTCATAGTTTATTTGAGACTACTCATTAAGAGGTTCTTATTTACAAGCCAAAAAAACGTTCTTGGTGTGGTGTTTTTTAATTTAATTGTTTTTTATCAAAGAGATATGGAACCTGGAGAGTTGAATATTTTAAAAACATTAATTAACAATCGATACCCAATGACCCTTATAACACCCTAGCTTTGTTTAAAAGCTTTATACTTTTATACTTTTCACATATAGTAAGAACCAGTTTCATTTTTCAGTCTGACGTGTATATTGCTTGGCGTTTCTTTATGCGGTTTATTTATTTATTTTGAATTTTATAACTGAAATATAAATATTGAGAAAAGTAACCTTTATATTGATCTAGAAAGAAAAGGAAACGAAACAAAACTTAACTAGAAGAAGAAAAAATTACAGCAAAAATTACGGTTAACAGATCTGTATGATGAGGACAAAAGGTTATCCATGATTGAATTTTATAGTCTTCAAAAGTGTAGAGTCTAACTTATTTATCAAACCTATAAACTTATTTAACTTTTTGCGATATTGCATTCTGAATCGAGTATTTACTCTCGGATTCACTCGACCTCCCATATTAATAAATCTATGCCGGAGGCGTATTTATTATCACATTCTCCATCACAATTACCACGAACGAATGACACATCACCAGCAGGATAGAATTTTCTAAAAATCTAATAAATCTAAGATGGTAAATGGAAAAGCAATTTATAAATTAAAATATTGCGCTCGCTAATTGTATGTGAATCATAATTACTTCATCTTCAAAAGTGCGGCATATGCTAAATAAGCATGGCTGGCTTAGGGGCATTACATAAATGGATGTCCCGCATGTTTTACGAGGGTAAATCTCGAGGAGGTTTATTGACGTTAGCCTGCACTGCATCCGGAATTTTCTGTCGGACTTTACGAGTAAACGTTCGGAGTTCGGAGTTCGGAGGCACGCAGGCTAATTGACGTGGGCAAATGAGTTTTCGTCCCATGTTTTACCCCTCAAACTTCTCATGAGATGTTATCAAAGAGCAGGCTTTTTCGCGTTGAAAATTGGTCGCACGCAACCACAGTATAAGTCGAGTGTTTTCTGTTTTGAGAAAAACTAAACGGATTCTTCTTGAAAAAAACGTCTAATAACCTTTAGAAAACTCATTAATAATTCATGAAGAAAACACAATAGAAATCATGACCATGAAGGTGATTTTAAATCTGATAAAGATTCGTCTTCATTTGCATAAACTTTAACTTGTATTTTCTCTATCAAACTTGGTTCATTTCGTAAAAAAATCGGTACACAATGAGAACAAACATCATAAGTTTTCTAAGCCGTTCAATAATCTCGCAGATCGTGGTTTATCGAGTCTAAAACCACTCGGCTGCGCCTCGTGTTTTATACCCGATAAAACACTCCTGCTCGTTTATTAAACATTACATAGTATAATATTATGCGAATATTTATGAATACATACGAAATACTTTTGGAGCCATCATAAACATTCAGTGACGCGCTTTCGCTTTTTTTCAACGCCACGATGTGATGTGACGCTTTCGTTCAATCTCGTACTCAGAGCCTGCGTTTCTTCTGGCCTGCAGTGAAGAACGAGGGCTTTGTCATGATCCATTTTTGGCGCATGCGCAAATTTTCGGAAATGAAATATAATCAATGGAAATCATGCTTTAAAGCGGAGTACTCCCTTTACTTCCGATTAAGATAAAAATTAAAAATCGGGAACATATCATTTTAATTGTTGGCAAGTCTTTGAACGCATGCGCTTTAATACCTGAAGTCCAAGAAATCACGTGGTGAACGCATGCGCAGCGACTACTCAATGGGCTCCACCAGTGATAAGGCCTTCAACAATGTCTAGTATATTAGCCATTGCATGCGTCAAGTAAAAGAGTTCTAAAAAAGTTGGTTACGTTTTTTTTTTTGCATGTCGTGAATTTTCATTATATACATTTTACCGACTATCAGCGAACGAGTGAGATATCTAAATTGAACACGAGAAGATAAAATTCGTATCTCCAAGCGCCCATGTAATGTTCTGTTTATTATATAGATATTGATAAAACAATAAAACAAAAGCTCAAAAATTCTTTATTAAAATACGTTACTATGTCAACAGTGATATCTTCACGTGTGAAAGATATGGTATCTTCCACGTGAAAGATATCAAGTTTTCGACACTAGAGAAAACCTGGTATTTCATTGATATCTATATAATAAACAATTTTGGAATTCGCTTTTGGCATGAATATCGTTAATTATCAACACCTCGGCTGTTTTATTCGCTACAGACTACAGCTTCGGCATATAACACATAACACGGCCTTGCAGTCTTGCGGACGGATAGTTTGCGATATCATGCTCAACCACATCCAATGATTGTTTGTTATATTGATACGTAAATAATGTCAGGGATCGTCAAAGTTTGGTAAAATTTCATTTCAACGCTTTGCCTCCAAGCCTTAGGGCTGAGGACAAAATTACTAGATTTAAAAATGAATTGAAAACATATCTTTTTAGGCAGGCCTATTTTTAATTTTTAATTTTTAATTAAATTCTGAGATCCGAGTAAGTGTGAGTTTTGGTAAATTTAGTCCATTTGGTGACGTTTATTGGGATTTTCTATCTGTAAATATAATGAATAGGACTATTCTAACCCTAATGATAAAAGGGTAAATTTAACACCCTAAGAAGATGAAACAAAGAAAGTTTCTACTTTCGCATCCCCATAATACTTTGCGTCTTTAGGGGGTAACCAGAGGTTAAAAATTTATTTATTTTGTGAAGGCTGATCAGATAGTGTTGAAAATACCTTGTTTGGTATCCAAGGATAAAATGAAGAAGTAAAAAAACAGAAAAAGATAGAAACTTGAAGACGTTTAAGGTAAATTTTAAACATTTTTTCGTAAGTCAATACATTTTCTGTAAGACAAAAGCTCTTGATGACCTGTACACGCAAAAATAACTTGGAATAAACTGATAATCAGTATTGTACAGATAAAAGCAGGTATAGTATAAATTCAATTGAAAAACTTTTCAATTTGGGACAAAGTTTTGATTGGTTACCCCCCAAAGACGCAAGGTATTATGGTGATGTGAAAGTAGAGAATGCGGCTTATTCATCTATTGGGCACTCTTAGTCTCAACCGGATTAATGAACGCTTTACTTCTAACTAACCCACTCTTTTGCCTTTTGATTGTTTTTTTCGTTTCCTTGCCCACCTTTTTCCGATTGGTTTCTTTTGTCTTGTTCTCAGTAAACGAACACTCCTTTCTACCACCTCTTTCTCTTTTACTCCGACGAAGGACTAGCGTCCGAAACGTCAGTAAGTTTTTTTCGTCATTCTTTCATCTCGACACGGTGTAAAATATATTATTACTTTTTCATTAGAAACACCGACGCAGTTCACACCAGTTTTTAGCTAGTTATCTCTTCTATCCTAACCCTATGTATATTCATTAGGCTTCCTGATGACGTAATAGGCATTATTTAAGGCATCATTAATTATGCATATGTCTCACTTGGTGTGAACCGGCTAAGAGGAGTCACCCAACCGCCCACCCTTTTTGTTTACTCAATGGCTTATCCTCACGAACTTGCTCGTCGGGGGTGGCTCTCCATACCTTAATTAATACTAATGAGTAAGAACGAGGAATAATGTACGTTTTCACGCGTATGAAAGGATAGTCAGTCCAGAACAATAGTTATTTTATCAAATAGACCTATCCCGAATTCGCTTGACTGACCACGAAACAATGGTTTGAAGTCGAGACTGAACTTGATTCTTTTATTCATCAAATTCAATCTCGACTTGAAACCATTGTTTCGTGGCCAGTCAAGCGAATTTGGGATAGGTCTATTTGGCCCCGTCCACACTATGCCGGATAAATTTGAATCCGTATTTTTATTTATTCGGTTAGGCCTACCGTCCACACTAGTCCGGGCGAATCCGGAACAATTCTTCACCGAAAACGAATTTTCGAAATGGAACCGAATAAATAAAAATTTGGATTCAAATTTATCCGGCATAGTGTGGACGGGGCCTTGGTCGCCATTTTTCGATCCGGTGATTTAATTCGCGATGTAGGCAGAGATGCTTTACTGCCCCATCAGTAAAGTTTTGTATAATTGACGACGCTTCCTGTGACATCACACTCATTTACACGTTAAAAGAATACACCTTGGTTTCTCGATGCATCTCTCAAATCATATAAAAACATTTTACAATCCAACTGTTCACTGCATAATGAGTTAGGGGTCAAAGGGAACTTGAATGAAATACGACCTTTACACTGCTAGGCTCAATACGTCCAGATTCAGTTCAGAATCCTATTAGTATCATATTTGATGAAATGTATTCATTTGGTAGGAAACTAAATGTAAAAATTTAGAAAAAGTCCCTGATAGGAAAATGAGAGAAAGAAAAAAACAACGGAATAATTACAACAAATAAACAATAATTAAAGGGCTACTTGTTTATTCACCTGGGTTTGGACTTCCGAGTACCGCGGACTTCAACTCAATAGCTTTTTTGGCGTTTAAAAATCAAAATAAAATGCAAATGTTTCCCCAAATATCCAATGAATGCGCTATTTGCTCGTCTTAGTTTTTTTTAGCTATCACCTAGCGACGTTTGATAGGCTTTCATAGCTCCCGTCCAATAGAAAAAACGAGCTACCTTGAGTTCAATTATTGCTTTTCATAAAATTGCAGAATCAAGCGTCACTTCCCCATTTTACCGAGATCACAAGACGTGAGAAGCCAAGCTCCTCTCCGATGGGTTCTTGGGCGAACAGTACCGATCAAATCTATGTCCCAACTCCAGGGAGATTTTCCACGCGCGTCACTATCGGTTCATTGGCTGCTGTCGCCTGTCTTATAGGCATCATAGGGAACTTTCTCGTATTGTTATTAGAATGGAAACGATGTCTAGGATCTAAAAGCCAAGTACGCCTGTTCGAGAGGCCATTGACAATGTACTTCGTGAACAGCCTTGCTATTACAGACGTTTGTAATTCAGTCATAAACATTCCTCTATTCGTCATCAACATGTTCCAGGAATTCCTGGTCTACAAGGTTGGTTGCCTGGCGTACAGTGTCACACTATTTACATTCCCAGCAGTGACAATCTTAAATCTATTGGTCATCTCTATCGAGAGATACATGGCTATCTTTTTCCCACACAAAGCACCAGACAGACGAGCTTCCCGAAAACTTGTTATAGGAGCTTGGATCGTAGGTACTTCGATAGGGATCCTTACCACTCTTACGATGGATATAGTTCGCTATGACATTGACGATACGAAATATGCCTTGACTTGCACGTACGATAAGAACAAGCCCTGGAAAAACTGCCTTTATACAGTACTCGCTATTCTGGTATTTATTTCCCCTTCAGTCGTCATGTTCTACACAGCTTCCAGAACTGTAAGCTTCCTAAGAAAAAGAAAACGCCAGATTATTCAAGGAAAGTTAAGGCAGTCCTGTTACAAACGGTCTAGGTCTTTTGCTGATACACGATTACTGATGAATATCGTGTTTGCGTTTATTGTGTACCCTACTCCTTATTTTTTATCTATAACACGATTAAGACGTTCGCAAAAGTAGAGCTGAACTTCCAAGATGACTACACCATTAGGATTATGTCTGCGTTAACGGCTTTGTCCAACAGTGCCATCAACCCAATCATTTACGTTCACGGTTCAAGGCGAATTCGACGAGGCATAGCCAACTTATTCCGATAAGCGAATTTCAGAACAGAATGCTTCGGCTCTAAAGTTGAAACAACTGACTAAAAGCATTGAAGGCAAGCCGGACACTTTAGTTTGTGATACGCTGCCAGAGGAGAAAAAAGAAACAGCCTGAGATCTTTAACACGACGTTCTTGCTAGCCCCGCAAAACTGCGGTTCATTTTCACTCACTTTCGACATTTAGCAAGGAGTTATAACGAATTTGTTGCTGGCAGAGTGGCCATATTAAATTTCATTGATGCCGAGTGTTTCTCTGTGTTTACGGGCGTTTTTTGGGGCCTGATTCCTAGCGGTTAGTGGACATTAGCGCTAAACACGATGCTAGGTCGAGGTTTAACACTACACAATTCACTCATGATTGGAAGGTGCACAGCGTCTAATAGCACCATAAAAGTTCTCCACTTCTCACAAATGTAAAGCGCATTGAGACGATCGTAAAATACGTTATACGAGAACTTCCCCATTAATACGATCATTATTATATATTTATCCTCAAAATGTAATCCCAATTTGTAAAGATATACAACAAAGTACTTTAGTCCGGCAGAATAGAAATAGAAGTGGAGTGCCTCAGGTTCTGTCTTGGGACCCTTTTTTCTCGTTTTGATAGTTAAATATCAGGTTCCCGAAGGTGAATTGCAGTCCAGCTTCACAGTGCTGACATTTAAAGTTATTGTATTTTGACGATTCCATTTTCCACTAAAAAAGGTCCTTTTTTCACGAGGGTAGCACTTAATAGCCAGTGGCTACCAAACCTGTGGCCCTCATTCCATGATCGAATCGGAATTTAGGAGTTGATTTTTGCGGAGGGAGGAAAACCGGAGAACCCGGAAAACCCTCGAAGCACAATAGAGAACCAACAAACGACTCTACTCATACAGTCCTTTGACTAAACGTTGTCGTTTGATCGGCTTCATCCCTACGCGCCTAGACCGAAAAGGATCATAGGAATAATTAATTCACAGTTACTAGCTGCCGCATATGTTATCTAACACGTCTTGAGCTCGCTTTTTTCGATCCCATTTAATTTGCTGAAACCATGCCACGAGCATACGGCGAAGATTTAAACTGGCGAGATGACGCAAGTTCTGGGTAATTTACCCGTTATCCTTTTCGGTCTAGGCGCGTAGGGATGATCCGATCAACGACAACGTTTAGTCAAAGGACTGTATACGAAACCGAACCCGGCGGGACTGGAACTCGGGTCGCATTGATGAGAGGCAAGCGCTCACAAGGCTACGCCACCCGTGCTTCCAATTTCTTGGGAATCATGTGTGACGTACCACTAGTGTTTCGCCGCTCACTTCTGGGATATCAGGTTGATTCCTGGACTCAGTATCGCATTTGATTAAAGTTTTTTGGGTCCCTCCCCTGATTTGAGGATTTTTCTGGGTTCTCCGGTTTTTCTTACACACCAAAACCGAACAAGCTAAATTCCAATTTTATCTGTGAGTTAGCCTTGCACTAGCCTCCTTTGCAGCCGTTCTTAGAAACGTTGCGTGACGACCCTAAGAACGGCTGCAAAGGAGGCTAGCCTTGCACTGACTTTGCTCAGCCCAAAGGTTGTTTCAGGGTTTGATCTGTGAGTTAGCCGTGCCCTGACTTTGCTCAGCCCAGAGTTTGTTTCAGGGTATTAATAATATTTACTGATATTTTCTTTGCTTTGATTTCAAAAGATTAAGTTAACTTCATGATACGAGGTTCTAAACCTTTAAAATAATCTTTTACGCATTTGATTTTTTTTTTAAATCAAGATTTTTTTACGGAAACTAGTTTCGTCTTCATCGACCTTTTCAATCCCTTAAAGATAAGGATTTTTAATGCGTAAAAGATTATTTTAAAGGTTTAGAACTTCGTATCATGAAATAGATAAAATTGGAACTGTTTTCTAATGATTCCCATTGATCTAAACCCCAGTTCTAAGGCATCAACTAAATTCTATGTTCCCATTCTTCCCAGTTTAGATTTATTTACTTATTCTACGCACCTTTTCAGCGGTGACATAGTTACGACTGCTCTTGAGTTAGTATTTCAATACCACTGTCTGTTATCAAGATTGTTTCTTCAAATTGAGAAGCCCTGAGAATTAAAATCGAAGGCATATGACGACAGGGCAGAAAAACGGTTTTTGGCCTTTCGCCATAAGGACAGCTTTACCTATTTGTATTTATTGTATTTATATTTGTATTTATTGTTAAATAAACCCATATTGAACAACAATATATACAGAACCAATTGTATAGAATATTAAGCTCAATATTTTGTAAACACGTTCTTTTGGAGCCAAATAGCAAAATATCAAATGCGACCAAAATTTATTGAATGCGCATTTGAGATATAAAGCCATGTACTTTGGGAGAGGTGATATTTTGATTAGCAGAAAAACTGATATTTTCGTGAATACTAATAAGTAGCATTTACTCTAATTCGATAAAATTTCGTCACAAGTTTCCAGCAGCAGTAACACAAATGAAACACTTAAAAATTTGGAGTATTAAATTAAGTCAAATAAAAAAAATCGTGAAAAAAGAAGTAGCGGGCTTGCCGTTTTTCTGCCCTGTACGGCATAGAAATTGAAAGGATAATTAGAAAGACCTAAAGAAACAATGGTCAGAACATAAACTTTTTCTACTCAAAACAAAGAACCGAAGAACGACAGGAAAGGAAAGAAAAGACGACAGAAATGAACGCTGATCACAGGTGTAAACAAGAAGGATGTCAGAATTATAGAAAGGATGGGCGTACCAGGCGAGCGTAAAAGGGGAAAAACAAAAAAATTATCGGTAATGATGAACTAGAAAATTAAGAGAAAAACTTTTTCAATAGTGAGCAATAATGACAAAAAGTGCCAAAAACTAGACTTTCGTATGAGTTTTGATCCCAATTTTCGTTTTGGGTTAACACTCAAAACCTTTTTTAAACAGTTAGAAACTGATGTACTTTGATAAAATATCTGTTTGAAGCGGTATTTTCAATTGTACAATGATGTTTCGTTGCATTTGTGTTAGAATGTTGCTTTGTCAGGTTTTTTTATAGAAAATATATGGGAAATAAGCAAATGAAGACCTAAACCTCATTTTCGAATAAAATATTTGCTTTGGGTTAACACTTTGATTCCACTTTCATCGGTCATCTCATGTTCCAAACAAGTTAAACTTTCTGAATAACAAGATTTTAGCCTTGTACAACAGCCTTTCTTGAAGAAAATAGTTTTTGGTGCTCACTGCTTGAATACGAAAAGAATTCTCTCTTAAGGGAAAGAGCGGATGAATAAAAAATTCATTTAACTCGTATAGGACTTTTAAAGTTGTGGCATATTTCCGTGCAATTGTTCATATTAAACACTGCTGAAATAAAGTGAAAAATGTTTCTATTGTTCATAAACGCTGCTAAAACGTATATGAGCTGAGCGTAAAAGGGGAAAGACAAACAATTCTCGGCAATGATGAACTAGAAGATTAAGGGAAAGAGCGGATGCATGAAAAATTAATTTAACTCGTATAGGACTTTTAAGTTGTGGCATACTTACGTGCCATTGTTCATAAACACTGCTAATATGTATATGAGCTGAACGTAAAAGGGGAAAACAAAAAAATTCTCGGAAATGATGAGCTAGAAAATTAAGAGAAAGAGCGGATGCATGAAATAACTCGTATAGAACTTTTAAGTTGTGGCATACTTACGTGCCATTGTCCACAAACACTGCTAAAATGAAATGAAAAATTTTTCTTCTTGCTGGGGGTTAGGCTAGCCCTTGTGGTTATTATAGATAGCATGTACCTTTATTTAGGTTTTTAATATGAYGTATTTATTTTTACTTGTAAATATTATATAGCACAGCAGGTACTAAATAAACACGATTGTTGTTGTTGCTGTTGTAGGCTGCCTTCACGCGTGAATTATTTTAGAAAAGGGAATTTGTTCCTATTCGTATTGGCCTTGTAACTCAACTTTTCGAAATCAGGTACGTGAATGCGTACTGGTAAAATCTAACCTAAGTATGATCCAAAATCCCCCCTCCCCCCCCCCCCCCCCACAAAAAAAAAAAAAAAAAAAAAAAAAAAAAAGRGGGGGGGGGGGAAAATAAGGTAGGATGATAAAAAGAAAATACTCAATATACATACCTTTTACCATCAGTAGCAATCATGGTCCATCCATCATCTAAGACTTGAATGCCTGACGAACCTTCGTGAATAACTGGCTCTAGAAAAAATAAACACACAAGACACCCTCAAGTAAAACTACTAACTACAGTGAGTCTAGTTCTGGGGGGAGGGGGAAGGGGGGACTCTGATTGGAGAAGGGTTGGGATGCTCATAACACCTTTTAGGGTTCCATATCCACAATTTGGTACCTCTTAGCATGTCACAAATCTAAAAGGACTACCAGTGAGTTAGCCAGTACCTCTTATGGTGTTTATGAGGGAATACGATACCCGAGATTATAGAGGACAGTAAGAATTGGCAGCCGTAATTCAAGATATTTATTTTCGGTTCAGTATATGACTTCTGTCACTTACATCATAGATAATTGGTACCTTTGAGGGGTAAAAATCATTAGTTGCCACACCCAACTGGACAGGACTCAGGTACCTCTTAGGGTTCATTTTCAAAATTTGTGACAAGCATCCCCACCCTTCTATATAAAGGAGTCCCCCCTGGATCTAGTTGTACATTACCTATGGTGAAAGTCATTCCTGGTGCCATTCTCCCGGGGTAGTTGTTTGCTGTAAAATCACAAACGAAAGGATTGATAACTAGGAGTTTAAGAATATTAGTGGTATTGAATGAAACACATTCCACAAACAAGACATAAACCAGGGGGGTACTCTTGCCCGTTTAGGGTAAGGATGTGCCGCTGAGCCCTCTGAACCCTGACCCTGTTCCAGAGTAAAAATCGCTGAAATTCATACCCTGTTCCAGAGCAAGATCGCTGAAATCCCTTTTCCAGAGGAGAGAGCGTGATTTCATATACCCTGTCCCAGAGCAAGCGCGATTTTATATACCCTGTTCCAGAGTAGAATCGCTGAAAACCATACCTTGTTTGGTGGCATGTACCCGTATAGCTAATATAGGGGAGTATCCCACCCACCCCCCACCCCCGGGACATAAATTAATAATTACAGCGAGTGTAAAACATGGTTAAAAGTGGTATAATTAAACGGGTTTAGAAAATTATCAGCAAATGCAAATTATGCATTCTTTGATGCAAAACTGATTGATGCAATCCCTAAATACAAGTAAAATATCAAATTTTCTAACTTGATTGAAGCTTTTCTTACTCCTTTAGAGAAACAGATAAACAAATCAAGAAAATAACTTAAACAAAAGTAAGTACATTTGTAGGAAAATCCAAGAACAATGTCCGACCTTCTTGGTGAACACTAACACAATGCAATACAATTCATACCACGTGATGACTAGCGTGAAAAAGGCGGATTGCTGCATTTTCACATTCAATATTGTATGATAATGATAATTCTCATACTCATTAATAATTCATGAGTAAACCAGCCAATCAATGGGCTATTTTTGGGTCACATGATGTTACTTGAAACCTGGTAAAGTCCTGTGAAAGGCCTAGGACTGAATTAATTTTGTTCCAGCTACTCCAAGTCGAAGAATTAATGAGCATGAGAAGTCATTTCAAAAACTCCAATATCAAACTGGACGGGATTTCAAGTCCGCACAATTAGACTTGAACTAATTGCTTGGACTTAAAATCCTGTGCAGTCCTCATTGTCGGCTTTGAAATAGTACTTACCAACATGACATATATCTGGTAATGCATGAAACACACTTCCTATACCATGACCATAACAGTAAGGAGACACACTAAAACCATGTTGCTTGGCCAGTGAACTGCAGATTCAAATTAAAACATGCTATTAATACATATACTCTTCTAAATAACATATTTAATATTATATTAATATTATATTAATATTATCCCATCATAGAATGGGATTAGCTAGAATTAATTTTCCCCATGACGATGACTGTTGAATGACTGGCCAGTATTTTAAGCCATCAATGCATAATATAATATATTCCTTTGGTCACTTATATTTGTGACGGACCGAGATCTTACATCAATTCGTTGGACAACTCGATGAAGTTTACGAAAACAACAACACATGATACGAGGTTTGGGACAGAACTGAATTTATTTAGCATGCTTCGACTTGACAAATGTACGAACGCTTCCAAATATGGGCATCAAGACTAAATACGGCACAAATGACAGCTTGTAAGATAAATGACAAGTACACATACATTATAAACACAGAAGGCAAAACCGCCAACTGAATTCACATAGCACTACTACACCACACTAAAACCTCATGTCTCCAGACTTGACATTAGCTAAGGAAGCTTCTCTGTTACAATACTGACATTTATGTTAAAACAATACGAACTCAAACACATTCTCGATCTTTCACATCAGTTCGCACTGTCGTATATTTAACAATTATTTGCCGGAGGCGAAGTGATTATGGGTATAGAATATTTACCAAGCCGTGAGGTAAATATCACCATAATCACTGAGCCTTAGGGGACCAATTGTTTTAATATAATTTTAGACTAGAATATCAAAGAAAAGTCAAAAGTCAGGATAATTTTTTTTCCAAGCTGGAAAATCTCATTATCACTGCTACAGTGGTGATTGTCGTCTCAGACTCACCAATTGCTCAACCAATCACAGCTTGGGAAACTCTATATTCAAGTCTAAAATTATACACCCAATGGAGGGGGGGGGGTACTCCCCTATATTCGTTATACGGGTACATGCCTCCAAACAGGGTATGGTTTTCAGCAATTCTAATCTGGAACAGGGTATATAAAATCATGCTCGCTCTGGGACAGGGCATATGAAATCACGCTCTCTCCTCTCTGGAACAGGGTATCCATTTTCGCAATACCAATTGATATGATTATCAGCGATCTTGCTCTGGAACAGGGTATGAATTTCTGCGATTTTACTCTGGAACAGGGTCAGGATTCAGTGGGCTCAGCCGCACATCCCTACCCATAAACGGTCAAGAGTACCCCCCCCCCCCCCGGGATTATAGTAAACCCATATATCCACTTAATTGACAACAACTATTTTAAAAAAGGTTGGTGAAGGTTTTGTTGCATGTTGCTTATGCAATGCACTATATTGCTTGCTTCTGATTGGCTAATGGAATGCTTTGCTATTATAATTGGTCAACTTTGTCAAAGTGTTCCCAGGTGTAAATCTGCATTATATGCTGTCATTAACGTTACTTTTTAAAATATCTTTTAAACAATCTACGGCACACAATATTCTACCAACGATGTACCTGATGGTATTTCCAATGGTAGAAAACCTCACTCCTGGCCCACATTGACATATTGCAGAATCCAGACATTTTCTTGAGATATCAACAAGTTTACGACCAGCATCATCTACATTACCCACAAGAAATGTCTCGCATAGATCACCATGAACTCCACCATAATACACCTGCATCACAAAGAAAAATTCAGGAAAAAGCATCCATGGTCCAAATAATACAAAAACAGTTTTTCAAAGTTTAATGTCAAATGATCCTCTGCTAGGCCAAGAATAAATAACTATGAGAAGGAATCCACGTGCCTCATCATGAGCACTCTTTGATGCTATTTTTAAAATCATATATTTGATCGTTTGTTTTTCATGCATACTGTGCACGCACTACCTTGTTTGCTCATGTTTTCTTGTGTTTTTTCAAAATTTTGTGTCTGAGCATACAGCACAGAGCATGTGCAGTATGTGTGTGCAGAAAAATAAATGATGACAAATGATTTTAAAAATAACATCAAACAGTGCCTTTGATGCTTACTAGCATGATTCCCAGATATTCCTTCTCTTAGTTCATTTCCTCTTGACTAGATTTTGTCATAGATGACATGACCCTAACCCCTAAAATCTAGCAGGTGTGTCAAAATTACCAAGAGTTCGTAAGATGTGAGACATGGCATTAAATGTAAAATTGATATCATAAGAGTTTGTCAGTCTCATTGATAGTCATGCACTGCTTGACCACATTGATAGTAACTGCTTGTTTTAAGGGGGTACAAACAAGTGATCTATTAGGGAAAATTCCCTATTATAATTGCTGCTAAGAAGTGGTTTTTCGTAACATTTTAAGATAACATTCAGCGATAAAACTTCACTAAAAAACATAATATAACACAACGTTTCGATGTTAACTGAACGTCATTATCAAGTGATAAAAAACTAAAAAACGTTAACTTATATATATGAATAATAATGAGCATAAAAAGGTGTGAAAACCAAAAACTATGTAATTTAAATATTGTATAATAAAATGACGAACAATGAAAGAAAAATAAAAAAACACTAATAAAATACTTTAGCCCGAATAGAGTCACTTTGAATATTTAAACTGGGTTTCAGTTTGTTAATAAATGACATTTCATTAATTAAACAGTCCCATTTTGACGAGTATTTCTTAAGAGATAATTGCTGCACTTGGGAAATTCTTTTACTGTGCTCAAACAAATATACTGAGAGKGTAAAAAAGTTTTAATTCATGACTAAATTATAGTTTAGAGAAGATAGAATGCGAGGGCAGATCTAGAAGGTGGAATGGGTGGCTACAGTAGCTTCACCCTAAAAGATATAAGAAGCAAAAATAGAGTTAACTGGCATTTTCCAGGTAAAAGCCAATCCCTTTGAAATTATCCTGGATGCAACATTGGTTTGGGTTTCAGAGTTTATTGAAGAAACAAATGGCAAAATAAGTTTCTATTTCTGAATGTTGGAAAATTTTAAAGAAAAAAAATGATTATGAAGATCTAGGGATAAAACAAAAACTGAATAATTTGGATTGACTTTAGGATGAATTGAATAAAACTACTTACTGAAATGTCAACACTTATTATGTCACCATCTTTTAAGGAATAACTTAAAAGAAAAAATATGAAGATCAGTATTCAATACTTATAAGTATTTACTAGTATTTAATAGCTGTGCTCTGGGTTTAGTTGGCAAGAGATGTTTTAAAGCTTTGAACGACCCATTACAATGTGGGTTCAATATCTGGCTTGACCAACACTCAGGGTCTTAAAATAATGGAGGAGAAGGTAGACTAGTGTTGCCTTTGTAATTACAACAACAAATGGTTAAGCACTTTTACACAGTCACCCCGATTTGCAAAGCAAAGTTTTCTCCTATCATCATCATTATCATCATTACCTGTCTGGGATTCCATGAACAGCAACATTGTTGACTGATGTACACACTGATTTAGGGAATCCTTTGTAGTTTAAAGGAGATGGATAAGCACCATAATCAATGATAGAATGATGAAGGACCGAGTCTAGGTCTTCTGTTGTAACTCCAACCTTTAAAGAACTGAAAGCGTTATTCTTCATAATTGCCCTGATTCTTTTCTCTCCATCCATATCTGTCCACCCATTCAAGCATCCATCCTCCATGTATCCATCTTTCTATCCATCTATCCATCCAGCCGTCCATTGACCCATTCATCCATCCATCCACCCATCCATCCATCCATCCATGTTCATCCATCCATCCATCCATCCATCCATCCATCCATCAATCCACCCACCCACCAATAAACAAACCTACTTTGATAAAATCCTTGGCATGCCCAGCAACTTTTCTAGCTATTTGACAAGCACTCCTCACGGCATCTATTTGTTCTTTTGTCTTTATCTCAACTTCTCTTGGTGGATTTGGAACTTCACCAGTTTTTGCATATACAGGGAGTGCAATGCTTGATGGGATGGGTCTGGGTGGAGCATAATGGGCGCCTCTTACCACATGTTTGAAAAAGATTATTGATGTTAAAACCCTGTCAAAACCAAAAATGAACAATCCATTAATATCTTTGTAAACAGTAAGGGCAAAGCCAAAAATGGTTCAAAATAAGGACCTAAACTTATTGATTTAGGTGTTGTGTACCAGTACCAGTTTGGAACCCCCATTTTAAAACTTTGGAACTGAGGATGGATAGAGCTGCTTCAAGTGAGATGAGTCAAGTTCCAATTTGGCTACCTGTGGTGATATTCTCTAGCGAAGGCAACACTTAGTACACAAGGGCAGAACTATGCCAAACTAACACATTTTCAAGTATTCTTACCTATTGCTAGTAGACTTGGTAATCTGGGACAAGATATGGAAAGATTCTGACAGAACAAATTGGTTAATTTAAGTGAATAATGTCAGTAGAGGCTCGAGAGATTAGAAAAATTTTAAAAGCTTTAYGTAGACTTTAAAAACTGATTAAACTTTACGACAGAGCACACCTTCAAAGAAACATAAATAATCAATGGCAATTCGCCTTCATTCGTACCATTTATACCTTTTAAAGCTGAAAGAACTCCCATAACATTTCAGTTAATCCAAGCATTCAACTGCATCCGTACTCGGTAATCATCCCCACAGGGATCCCAACAACGAAGAAAATTGCCGCCATTTTTACATTCCCCATAATTCATTGTAACCGTTCCACATTAAAAATCCTCAAATTACTTAAAAGACTTTTTCAAAATTACTTTTTTTTATATTTCTGGTTGTTTGTCATAAATATTTAAAGCATCTTCTAATCAGTCTTCAGCATAATACACGATTTTTCCTTGTTACCCAAACCCGCAATGCATTGTGGGAATGCGAAATTTTTTATCATCATCATCATTTTTGCGAAAAATAATATTTTTTGATTTATAAAAGAGATATCTTTCCAGGTAGTCTTGGAATCCGGAATAAACCTTTACAGGTGAATCATTTATCATTCTTTACTATCGCAAAAATCGCACCTCACTATCACGCTGCAAAATCGCACTGGTGTAAACGGGCCTTAACACCCAGCCAGTAGGCATATAAGGCGCCGAAAGGTCATATTATTTGCCCAACCCGCTCTGTTCTGCATATATCCATTTCTTCCATTGCGCCTTCGTACAAGTCATCTTCGGTCTCCCTCTCGCTATTTTGAAAACACTTCACTAATAAAGGAGTTCTGTTGGTTCTCGATCATGGCATGAATGATTTTTTTTCCCACGAAGGTTTGGGGATTTGGTATTGATTTAATATATACACATTTATTTATTTCATGTGTCACGGGTGTTTTCTTATCTGCAGCGCCGGAGCAGAGAGAGGGATTTTTTCTCTACCCCCCTGGAAAACGAAAACCCTCTGGCTTTTAATGTATATTATGATTGGCTGGAAATTAAAACGGAAATTCGAAAGTGCACTAAGCTGACCGAAACCCTCGAGCTGAAAGTGAAGAAAAGTCAAATTAAACTTATGACTCGACTCGTTTTCCAGGCCGTTTTTGGTTCAAGTACCGTCTGCTCACACGAGGTCTGCAGCACCACACGAAAAGTTCTGCCTTATTTTTGAGAAAGAAAGTTTCGATACTAGCAAATTCCTTGGTGAATCATGGATGAAAAATATCAAGAAATGATGGCTCAACGTCAAAAGCAGATAAAAGAGTGGACAGAAAACATGGAAATAAATCCACGGTGCGGTCTTCTTCCTTCTCCTGAACAACTGGACTTAGGCTTCGACAACCCTGGAAAAGACGATACTGACACGAGAAAAGATTTTAATCTGGTACACAAGTGGTTAGCGAAAATCAATGCACTAAACCAAGGATTCTATGCCTATTACAAGACTGATGGCAAAATATTCCTGAAGGACACTGAATACGGAGCATTGATTCAGTTAGCGTTTTCCAACAGCTTCGCTGCCATGCGCCACACATTCAAACCAGAGCTCCCAGAATATGTGATTTGGTACTACACAGGGCATGGTTTTGACCCTAAAGGTGATAGCTCAGGAAAATCGTCTACACCTAACCTTAAAGCAGTCAATTTCAATACTGAATATAACAATGCTGCAGATGAATTTGCCAAGGAACTACAAGACCTCCCTGTCAAAGGTGGAGAGCTGTGTCTTCACCACGTTGGTTACAGCGGTCTTTATGGCTTGTTGAGACCATGGATTGCAGCTGTAAAGTCAAAGTCAATGAACAGCACAGGGGAGAAGAAAAACAAGCATCTTATCATTATCTTAGATAGTTGTTATTCTGGAATCATAGCTCAAGATCTCCAAGAGTTGAACAAGAAAGAAGGACCTTGGAATCAAAATGGCTGCACAGTGACTATCCAAACTGCCTGTGGCCCCAACGAGCCTACATATGAGGGCTACTTTACTCCTTGCTTTTTGACTCTAAACCAAAACCAAACATTGCTTGAGGAATTAAAGGAAGAATGGGAAAATATGGATGAGAATTTGAAGATGTGTTATCGTACACTACCTCAACCGTCCCCAAAAGTGGTAACTACGAGTGAAGAGCAAATAACCCCGCTAACTCTTCAGTTTCACTTCAATAATGGTCATCAAGTGACTCTCTTTCCTGATCCTGGCTTCTTCAAATTTTGCTCACTAACAATCTTCGAACACAAGGAAGAGGAATTAATGAAAACAAGAGTACTGAATGCTTCCACAACACATAATTTCATGAAATTACCAAACTTCACTRTTCTTGATTACAAGCTAAAAACATTACAGAACGGACCATATGCTGGTCATCCAATGGGATTATTTTTGTTAAAAGATCCTGATGACTCCAATTTTGCAGTGTGTGCACACGTACACTTTGCCAAGAATGATACTTCCAAGGTTGGAAGGATTAATCTTGTGCACCACAAGATGCCTCCACAGCAAAATCTGCTATATGTGGAAGACCATGACGGTCTGAGTAAAAATCAAGTCAAGAAAAACAGACACAAAATTGAATATGCTGCAATCCCAAATACTACTCAGGCTAATCCCCAATATCCAAATGACTGGGTATACTGGAGTTGGAACACACCCAATCCAGTGATACCATCTCATATAGCTGTCCCAAGAGCACTCCAAAATGAAATGAAAAATGGTGCGAGGCTGGTCAATGAATGTTATAAGTTTGTAGAGAGAAATGAGCCAGGCAGATGGGCAGACATCTCAAGATGGAACATGACATTAAACGATTTAAGTTACAGTGGAAGGTTCAGGCAGAAGGAACGCTCTGAATGGATGGACAAGTACTTAGAGAAGAATAAAAAATGACCGTCATTGACTGATAAGTGACTGATAGGTAAGAAGGATTTTGTAGAATGTTTCAATTTTCTCTCATAATCCATTATCGATAGTTCGTAGGTGTACACCTAAACACTGTTTCCCAATGCCCAATGTTTTAGACCAGGGAGGGAGGCTCCTCTGGAGGCTCAAGTAATTTTTTTTATCCTAGAATTTAGTTTTGTCACAGGTTTGGAATGAAATTTGGATTTTTGTAGAAATTTATAGGTTTGAATGAACTTTGTATTTTTGTAGAAATTTATTTTTAATAATAGCCTGAATAAGATCATTCAAAATTTCTCTCTCTTCTCAAAACATTTCTGATGTTGGCCCCTATTCTTGGTTATCCACTCAGAATAGGGGGAAATCTGTTTTATACCTTTTTATTATATAGAAAGCAAAAGTCTGTTGTATTTTTTCAATGTTTTTTTACATTTCTTTGCTGTGCTCTGTTCGCTAATACAGCACGATTCTCCACCAATCAGAGTGGGTGTATAATAAAAACTGTTCAGTTGCAATAAATATAAGAATGTTTAACATGTAATAGTCAAGCTACATAATTTTTATTAAAAATTACTTAAATTAGGAAGAGTGTTGTCGTAAATGAAATATACTCTTGAAATGGAAGAGAGAGAGTAAAAAAGATGTGTGGCACAATGTTTAACTGTGTGGACACTTTAACCAAGGATCACTCAGCAACTTAACCAATCATTTTATACAGTGGAAACAAAGCACAACAACTAAAATGAGGAGGGAACCTCTAATAAACAGGTACACCTTCCGGGCCTTGTCTGGTAGGTCCTTTTTGAAAATTATTTTTACGAAAAAAGTTTCCTCAATAATTGAAGATTTTTTTAAAGTGTCGCTGAAATTCATTTTATTTTAATTATATATTAAGAAATGTGTGGTGCTGTACAGCTGCGGCACATCGAATTCACGGAATCAACGGAATC